ATAAAGCCTTAATGTTATGTTATAGTTAATCAGTGTTTTATTTCCTTTTCATTTCATCACTCCCCGGTATCTCCACTGTATAAAACTACCCGTATTGGCGAAACGTGGACCTCTTCCACTATAAAGAACAGAGGTGGCGCCCGAGAGATTTAAATTTACTACTGTACGCCAGTAAGGCTATATATTTTTCACTGAACCAAAGAAAATAAATTGAGACTTTACAAATTGGCGCCCCAGCATAGGGACTTGATTGTTTTGAAAATTAAACCGTCAGAAATACCAGGAAAACCGGTAAAGCTAGTAAAAGCAGGAAAGCTATTGAAACAGTGTGAGGGGAGGTGAAAAGAAAATAACAACCGTCGAGCATAAGTACCTCTAGAGACAAGTAAAGTCTCAGTGTTTCTGAGTTAAAAGACTAGTGAAATCTAGAGCGATATGGAAACTGAGGAAGATATTTTGTCGATCGGTGCTTCCGTCGAAGGTAACGACGCCGTACCGTCGCTGTCACATACAGGTTTGAACCTGGCGCCGTCCGGCACGAGTGCTGAATCTGATTTCAGGACAGGGTGGATTTATTCCCTGAAGAAGTCTGAACTAGCTGCACAACTGTTGCGTTTTGGATTGGATAGTACCGGGACCGTTGAGGAAATGCGAAGAAGAATAGTGAGATTCATTAGAGAAGGACAGGCGAGTCCACAGCCTGTCACACAGCCTTTTGGATTTCCTGGAAATAGTGCTGTTGTGCCGACAGTCAGCTCTACAGCCACCCTGACCACTACAACAGTGACAACTACAGTGACCGTAACCTCGAGTGGATACATTGCTGGACGTGTAGTGTCTTCTCCGATGGTCTTTACTTCTACTTCACAGCCTGCGCCTCTGCCGATAAATCCAGGTATGTCAAATAGGTTTAATACTAGTCCAATACAAGTTTACAAATGGGGAGAGACATTTAATGGTCGCTCGGACCCTGTAACGTTCTTAGAAAGATTGGAAGAGATTTGTATTGGTTTCGATAAACCAACCCATCCATTCCGGGTACCGCAATAACAGAGTAAATTACCGGATCTGGGAAGAATTCACTCAAAGAATTTAAAATTTTTATTATCCAGTAAACTATGAGGTGGACCTAGAGGCGAAGATAAGTCGTCGAGTGCAAAGACATAACGAGTCCGTCACGGCGTACATCACTGATCTTCAAACGTTGATCCGCAGACATGGCAACATTTCTCCGAATCAAGAACTACAGTGGCTGTACAGAAATTTGCTACCTGAATTTCGTCAATATGTCCGGAGAGGAGACTTTTAGGACATCTCGTCGTTCTCAAGAATAACGAAGGAGTTCGAATTGCTTAGCCAGGAACTTCGTCGACCGACTAGGAGCGGTACAACACTTGAAGCTGGTCCTGTTGAAACCCGTCCTCGGCGAGTCATGCCAGACAATGAGTACACAGGCACTGAGAGCCGTACAAGGGTTAATCAGAACCCAGCACCGCCGCAGAATGGACCAAATCACAGGCCCACTCCGACCCGGAATCCGGGATATTCACAGGCCACAAAACAGACTTCAGAAGCCATCTGTTGGAGATGCGGACAGACAGGACACTATCGCAATAACTGTACACAGAAGGCACAGCTCTTTTGCTCGAGATGTAAGACGAAAGGCGTACTGTCCAGAGACTGTCCGTGTGGTCGTCCGGAAAACTAGAGCGGCGCTGCACACTCAAGCCAGTGCAGCGCCTTCCGACCGCCCTTATTGATGATATCCAGCCTGTTATCCGAACCGACAACCGTCCTACGATCAAGATACGACACAGAAATGTCGAATACTTAGCCCCCCTGGATACGGGGGCGGCATATTCTTTCATAGGAACCAAATTGGCCCAAGCTTGCCGAAATTCTAAGGCCATATCAGTCAAGCCTACTCTAAAAGGAGCGACGCTTGCTAATGGAACTAATGAAGCCATTTCAGAAGCCTTTAGAATAAAATTTCAGATAGGAAACCAGTCCTTGAACGAAGTGTTCCATATTCTGGATAGTCTTGTACCCGAAGTGGTGATTGGAATGGATATTCTGCAGCGACACCATTTTAATTTGGATTTACAGACCCGTCAAGTCAGCTTAAATGGCCGAAGAGTGACTGAAGAGGTTACTACGACTTTATGTCCCATTTCAGCAAGCACGGAGACTCCAAATTTGACGCAGGACGAACAGGATAAACTCCAGATCTTCCTGGAACAACACTTACCGGGTTTTGAGAATATTCATGGTACAACCCCATTGGTAAACCATGAGATTCACTTGATCAACAAGCAACCGATTAAACAAAGACACCGACCACAAAATCCGAAGATGCAGGCTATCGTTGATGCCGAAGTAGATAAGATGCTTGAGGATGGAATTATTGAGCCATCTGATAGTCCGTGGAGCTCACCGATCGTCATGGTTAAGAAGAAAGACGGTAGTTACCGTTTCTGCGTGGATTTCCAGAAGGTTAATGCCGTGACTCGAAAGGATGCTTACCCGCTGCCGTTTATAAACGCGATTTTGGACAAACTTCGCAAAGCCAAGTACATATCCAGCATTGACCTCAAACAAGGATATTGGCAGGTACCGCTAACTCGAGAGAGTAGGCCCATAACCGCATTCACCATACCCACTAGAGGGTTGTTCCAGTTTAGAGTGATGCCGTTTGGGTTACATTCAGCGCCTGCCACCTTTCAGAGATTGATGGATCGAATCATAGGACCCGAACTGGATCCCTATTGCTTTGCTTACTTGGACGACATCATTGTGTTAGGTGAGACGTTTGAACAACACCTGATGCACCTGGAAGAGGTTTTTCGACGTTTGAAGAGCGCAAACCTGAAGCTTAATCCTGAGAAGTGTCAGTTTGGACGAAAATCTCTCAAATATTTGGGACACTGGGTGACACCTGAAGGAATAAGAACAGATCCAGACAAGGTAACGTCTATTTTAGAGTTGGCCACACCAACCAATGTTCGAAGTCTTCGTCGATTTTTAGGTATAGCTTCTTGGTACCGCAGATTTGTTCCAGGATTTTCACAGATAGCTAAGCCCCCCAACGATCTGCTGAAAAAGAATAATAAGTGGCAGTGGCACGAAGAGCAACGTAAAGCCTTTGATACACTCAAAGAATGCTTGACTAGAGCACCAGTTCTGACATGTCCAGATTTCCAGAAGCCTTTTGTCTTGCAGACTGATGCAAGCGATAATGGTTTGGGAGCGGCTCTAATTCAACATTTACATGATGGCGATCATGTTATTGCCTATGCCAGCCGTAGTCTGACCACCGCCGAGAAGAAATATACAGTCACAGAGAAGGAATGTCTAGCCATAGTATGGGGAATCGAAAAGATGAGACCCTACTTGGAAGGCTATAAATTTGTAGTCATTACAGATCATCAATCACTCCGATGGCTACACTCTCTGAAGAATCCTAGCGGCAGATTAGCCCGCTGGAGTATTTATCTTCAACAGTATGATTTCGAAATCCGTTATAGAAAAGGGATACTGAACAAGATAGCAGATGCTTTATCCCGAAGCCCGACCGACCCACCGCCGACTGAGGAGCCACTACTGGCCATATCCGAAACGGACATTTGTTCCTGGTACGAAAAGAAACGAACCGAAGTACAGGGACATCCGGAATTATTTCCTGATTTCTGCATTCGGGATGGAAAGTTGTTCCGTCATTTTTTGGACATGACTGATGCAAAAGAAGCCGAGATGCAAGACCCCTGGGAACCATGTGTTCCAAAACCTGCACGGCTCCAGGTCCTCCAAGAAAATCACGATCAACCCACCGCTGGACACTTAGGGATAGCCAAGACTACTACACGGACTGCTGCTCGTTATTACTGGCCAGGTATGTTTAGAGACATTGCCCAATACGTCCGGAAATGTCAGTCTTGCCAACAGTATAAAGTTTCGCAACAACAGACGCCTGGAAAGATGCAACCATCACCTGTCCGAGGCCCGTGGGAGACTGTGAGTTCTGACCTGGTAGGACCATTGCCTAGGTCGAAAAAAGGGAACTGCTACGTTCTGGTATTTCAGGATAGATTTACCAAATGGATAGTATGTAAGGCCATTAGAACCGCGACTGCCAAGGCTGTCAGTCAGGCCTTATATGACGAGATTCTGATGCGTTTTGGAAGACCTGTCACCGCCATAACTGACAACGGCACTCAACACACCGGTAGACCATTCCGACAACTGTTGAAGGATTTCGGGGTTAATCACCGACTTACACCGCCTTACACACCTCAAGCGAATCCCGTCGAACGAGCAAACAAGACCATCAAGACTATGATCGCCCAGTTTTGCGAAGACGATCATAAGAAATGGGATGCTTGCCTTTCTGAACTGACGTTTGCTTTCAATACGTCCCGTAACGACTCGACTGGATTCTCTCCGGCTTTCCTGAATTTTGGAAGGGAACTCGAGCCACCGAAAACTCTTCTGCGCGAAGAACAGCCGTCTGTTCCGTCCGAAAATGCCGAGCCGACGAAAACAGACGTAATACGTACCGAAAACCGCTTAAACCGTTTAAAAGAAACCTTCGAATTGGTCCGTTTAAACCTGTCTCGCGCCTTCGCGTCACAGAGCCATTACTATAACTTAAGACGAAGAGAATGGCAATGTAATGTCGGCGATCAAGTGATGAAAAGGGAACACCCCCTGTCTTCCGCCGTGAAAGGTTTCGCAGCTAAATTAGCACCGAAATACTCCGGGCCGTATATCATTACGCGTAAAATTTCTCCGGTAGTCTATGAGTTGACCGATAAAAATAACCGCAAAATACGGCGCGTTCACATCAAAGATTTAAAACCCGCTCACTAAATGAAAAAAAAAGGGGGGTCGCGTAACCATAAATAAATGTTTCTATATAAATTCCAGATATGCCCCGTAGGTCGTCTGAGAAACTTCCCAAGCGGGCCCGTTGTACTTAATGACGGAGGAGGCGAGGAAGAATAGGGAGAGACAGGAGGCTCGAAGAGAGAAAATACGGAGCCTGGTGGAGGCGTTTAATCAAGCGCCCACCAGGCCCGGCAACCCCTCGACCTCCGGACCGAAAATAATCGTCCTCTCGAATGTACAAATTCGTCCGCCTGGCCCCTACCTACCCGCTACCCCACCGCCGCCACCGCCATCACAGACACCGTCTGTGAACAGAACGGAGATAGCGGACAAGGTCGCCGCTAGGACCGGGCTCTGGGACGCCAAGCTCCTGGAAGAAGTACGGTCCCTGAGACCGCCCGGCGTCCCAGAAAATAAGACCACCCGGATCAGGTTACGAACAAGTACCGGTCGCCGGATCTGGGTGACCATCCCGAAGAACCAGTAAAAGTAGGAAAAATATTATAACGGGTAGCCTGGGGATCATAAGGAACCGTTAAAGTTCCTGTCCGAAATGAGCTCTGGATCTAATTTTGCTTTTTTTTTGTTATAGAAGACATGTTTTATTTCCTATTATGTTTTATTTTAGCTGGGTATATTAGGTCCGGAGAAGTAACCCGCATTTTTTTTTTTATTTTTTTTTTTGCTTGTAGTAGTCTGTCCCGTTTCCCTACTCTACTCGTAGTTTTATAATACTCTTGTCAGGAAGACTGTTTAATGTTGTTTTCTTTTAGGATTAACTGTCGCCGACTTATCCCCGCCGCCAAATGTCGTCTCCAGACACTTTTGTCTCCGCGGCGCTGGAAGACAATTTGATGGATGATCTCGACCGGGCCCTCCAGGATTATGACCTGCCTACACCAGTAGCCCGAGCACCGGAACGCATCCCACATCAGAGAGCACCCGACATGTCAAATGAAAGCGCCAGTGCAGTCCCGGCAGGATATCCATCTCGCCCAACGACCTCGTCCGTTCGAGGTCGACGGTACCAACTTCCCACCTTGTCTAGGTCCACTGCGAGGAACGCTGACAATTTTCCCACCCGGCTAGAGACCACGCCGCGTCAGATCAATCCCTACCAAGTCGCCGCAAGCACCGCCCGGCCGGCGTTTCAACGACCACAGCGAGCAACGTCCGAACAGCGGGCAATGGTACCTCTCCGAGACGATCCACGCCTGGCAGTATATTTTGAGGAAGAAACGACGGCCAGAGAACGTTCTCCGGCATTTTATCCCCGTCACGAGGAGGATCGGATTCCCGTGGAACTGGAGGCCGTGTGTTGGAGGTGTGGGGCCGTAGGACATAATCGTCGTCAATGTCAAAGGCCGGAGATAATCTTTTGCTCAGGATGTGGGACTCGGGGCGTCTTATCAAAAGATTGTCCATGCCGCCGTTTCCGGGCCCAACCGGCTTCCCGGAGTGATAGCCGAAGACAGCGAAGGCAGCGTAGGATCGCTGACCACAAAAAGGCCGGGGAATGCCCATTATGCCACAGAAAATAGGGGGGAAATCTGCAAGGTAGCAAGTAAAAAAAAAAGGGGGGCCAAGTTATTTTTTTTTATGAGTAAATAAAAGATATATATAGATATTATATTTTATATTATAAATGAAAAAAAAAGAACAGACAAAAAGGGAAATATAATTTTTTTTTGGTTGTGTTATTAAGGGAAGAAAAGTAAAGCAAAAAAAAATAATAATATTGCACGATTTTAAAGCTCTATCTTATGTCTACGGGGTGTGGTCCTGGTAAATTCTTTTTTTTTATTTTTGAAAATTTAAAAAAAAAAAAGGAAAACAGAAAGAGGGTAGAGAAGTTTTGTTTAAGGGAATTTAGTAGTATCTCTCAGCTGGTCGTTTTTTTTAAAATATGAAAATGTATTGCGACCAATTGTCCTGCGTGCCTGAAGAGTTGAACTAATTCATTTGTGTTATAGGTGTACGGGTCTCCATGACTGAGCCATTTGCAGGATCGTTCAACGCCGTTGGAACACAAGGGACTCGCCGAAGCTCTCAACTCCGCTGGGCCACGAGGGACTCACCGAAGCCTTCAACATCGTTGGACCACGAGGGACTCACCGAAGCCTTCAACATCGTTGGACCACGAGGGACTCACCGAAGCTCTCAACTCCGCTGCACAACGAAGGACTCACCGAAGCTCTCAACGCCGCTGGACAACGAGGGACTCACCGAAGCCGGAACACCGTTGGAGCAAGCTCGACACGTCGAAGCTCTACACACCGCCGAAGGAAGATCTTCAAGTTGAAGAAGACCGAAGATATTGCGTAATTTAGTTAAGTTTTGCATTTTGAAAATAAACATTTGATTTTGCGGTCGTTTTATTTTAGTAACTTAATCATGATTACGATACAAAAGTTTAGATTAAGACTTGACAAATAAACATTTGAGTTTATGGTTGTTTTCTTTTAGTGGTAAGCATAATCAAAGTGATACAAGGTCCCAGATATATCAAAGTTTTAGATTAAGTTTGCCCCGTAACCATTCGAATTTTGTTGTTATTTTGTTAGATGAAATCTTGCCCAGTAAATATCCGAATTTATTGTTGTTGTAGTAGGTTAAGTTTGGCCCAATAAACATTCGAATTTGTTGTTGTTTTATTAGACTTTAAGAGATATACTGGGCGTTAGCTTAAGCTTTGGACAAACAATATTCGAATTGGTTTTATTTTATTAGATTAAGTTTGGCTCAATAAACATTCGAATTTGTTGTTGTTTTATTAGACTTTAAGAGATATACTGGGCGTTAACTTAAGTTTTGGTCAAACGAAAGCTGTTTTAACAGGAAGTTTCATTTCAGCATAGCTGACAAAAATATATGTTCATATATTTTTAACCGAAGTAAGGGGAGTGTAATGAAGTTCATAAAATTTCTGGGCCACCCTGTATATTATATTAATATTATACGAGAATAATAGAGACTTGATTCTCTTGTAATAATGACAGGCAGGGTATTTTATTGTTAACTCATTATTGTAATGAACTTCATTAATGTTTCTATTGTTGAATTAAATAAGTTAAATATTTAATTTCCATTTTGTAAGAGAGTTTTGATCGGTTTTGGTCGCCGTGGTTCGGTGCGAGAAACCGAGACGTTTGCGCCGCTCTCCCTACCAGTGCAGGTTGAGTGGAGGGGAGCGTAGCCGAGTACCTCGGCAGTACTGGCACTACAGAGTTAGTTGTGTGGTCGCACGTGAACAGTGAAGTTCGAGTCCGGAGTGCCCTGCCAAGTGTCCTGCTGCCAGCCGCCTGCCGCCGTATTGTATAAGGTAAGCACCCACCGCCAAAGTGATCGAGAGTAGGTCGTATTCTTTTTATTGTTAATACCGTTTACTTTACTGCCTTGACGCGTTATAGGGATAAGGGAGACAGAGATAGTTAGAACGCGCGATCGCAAAGGCCGGCAAAGCTTGTGTTCGTTCAGGGCCAACTGTCCTCTAGCAGGTTGGGGAGCTGAACGGATCCCGTGGACGCGAGGAAAGCGCGCGATCGTAAAAGCCGGCAAAACTTGTGTTCGTTCAGGGCCAACTGTCCTCTAGCAGGTTGGGGAGCTGAACGGATCCCGTGGACGCGAGGAAAGCGCGCGATCGTAAAAGCCGGCAAAACTTGTGTTCGTTCAGGGCCAACTGTCCTCTAGCAGGTTGGGGAGCTGAACGGATCACGTGGACGCGAAGAACGATTTCTTTTGTTAGGGGAAAGAAGGAGCGTGACAGAGATAACGAGCAAGGTGGTACAGTAAACGCACGGGTCGCGAATGTTCTTGGAACTAAGGCAGGATCTCGTCCATCCCGCGACTGGTTCTGTAGTTCCCGTATTCTCATCAGGAGCGCCGTGGGATCTCGCCGACATCCCGAGGTGGTCCTGACCGGGCGGTGTGGACTGTGCTTATCCAGGCGACTAACCGAGACGCCGTTTCGTTCTACTGCGAACGATCCAGGGCTCGCGTGCGTACCTATCCCACAGGACTCCGTTTCGTCCTACTGCGAACGATCCAGGACTCGCGTGTGTATCTATCCCACAGGACGCCGTTTCGTTCTACTGCGAACGATCCAGGGCTCGCGTGCCTATCTATCCCACAGGACTCCGTTTCGTCCTACTGCGAACGATCCAGGACTCGCGTGCGTATCTATCCCACAGGACGCCGTTTCGTTCTACTGCGAACGATCCAGGGCTCGCGTGCCTATCTATCCCACAGGACGCCGTCTCGTTCTACTGCGCACGATTCAGGGCTCGGGTGCGTAATTATCCCACAGGACGCCGTTTCGTTCTACGGCGAACGATCCAGGGCTCGCGTTTGTTTATCCCGGGACGTCTGTAACGACGTCGCCGACGTTTAGAAAGTCGGGTTATAAAATAGTATATCGCTCCGGTACGTACATGTCTGTGTTTACTAGGACGCCGTTAAGTTAGACGCCGGTTAGAAACTCGCGTCGTTTTATTTACTAGAGCGTCATGTCAAAAACGCGCTTTGAATTCGCGTGATTAAATCGGACAGTGAGTTGCATATCGAGATTATACGGTCAAAACTCTAGAGGTGCTCGATTGTTGTTGTAAATTTTATTTTACGAGTCATTAATTATAAATTTTCTTTCACTTTCATTACAATTTAAAGTCGTGAAACTTCCTGGGGTATTTAGCATATAGTTAATTAATTAAATAAAGCCTTAATGTTATGTTATAGTTAACTGTGTGTTTTATTTCTTTTCATTTCATCACTCCCTGGTATCTCCACTGTATAAAAGCTACCCGTATTGGCGAAACGTGGACCTCTTCCACTATAAAGAACAGAGGTGGCGCCCGAGAGATTTAAATTTACTACTGTACGCCAGTAAGGCTATTTATTTTTCACTGAACCAAAGAAAAATAAATTGAGACTCTTACAGTAGAAAACCCTGTCTTTTAATTTCCAGAATGCTCTTGAGGCGCTGCTAATCCTGTGCTGAATTTCAGAGTCGATATTGGCCATTTCCGAAATCAGACTGCCGAGGTGATTAAATTCCGCTACATATTCCAATAGTTCTTCTCCGATTTTTATAGCATTGTTATGATCTTCTGGGGGAGTGCAGATGATTTTGGTTTTGTCGATGTTCAGCTTAAGGCCCAAAGCTTCGTATGCCCAGGTATATATGTTCAGCATTTCTTGTAATTGTTGTAACGTGTTTGCAACTAGTGCGCAGTCGGCAGCGTATTGATGTTCTGTAATTAATTTTGTACGTGTTTTTGCCCTGAGTCTTTTTATGTTGAACAGACCGCCATCATATCTGTATCTAATGCCCAATCCTCTCTCCTGCAGTTTGCTGTCCACTATAATGGAGAGCGCTGCCATGATAATGTTGAATAGGAGAGGCGCTAAGACATATCCCTGCCTAACTCCTGTATTTGTCAGGAAGGGATCGCTCAGTGATCCATGATGTGACAGTCTTGACTGGTTGTTGCTATGGCGGCTTTTACACACTGTAAGAAATTTGTTGGGTACACCGAACTTTTTCATAATTGCCCAAAGTGCATCTCTGTTCACAGAGTCGAAGGCTTTTGTTAGATCGATGAATGCAACATAAAGTTTAGACTGCTGCTCTTTTACTTTTCCTTGTAGTTGGCGGATGGAAAGTATGGAATCGACGGTGCCACGGTTGGTGCAAAAACCCGTTTCCGATTCTGGAAAGATTTTTTCTATATGTGGGTGCAGGCGATTTGACATAATTTTTGCAAGAATTTTTCCTCCGATAGCCAATAGTGAAATTCCCCGGTAATTTCCGCAGTCTGATGCACTTCCTATGTTATTAAATATTCGCGTTGCAAAAGTCCTGAGGTACCTCTCCGCTTATATATATATATAGGAATATGACATCGAAGAGAACCTTAAGATGACCAGTAAGTTCTTTACTTGTACACTTATAGATTTCTGCCGGAATCGCAGCCAACTGATTTGTTGTTTTTAAGCTGTTTTATGGATGCCATTATTTCCTGTTCTGTTATTGGAGTATCTAATACATCGAGGCTGTTGTAATGAAGTTCATAAAAATTTTAGGACACCCTGTATATTGTGTTGATGTTGTACTAGAATAGTAGGGACTTTATTTTCTTTTAATAATGACAGTCAGTGTGTTTTATTATTGGCTCATTATTGTAATGAACTTCATTAGTGTTTCTATTGTTGAATTAAATAAGTTAAATATTTAATTGCCATTTTGTAAGAGAGTTTTGATCGGTTTTGGTCGCTGTGGTTCGGTGCGAGAAACCGAGACGTGTGCGCCGCTCTCCCTACCAGTGCAGGTTGAGTGGAGGGGAGCGTCAGTCGAGTACCTCGGCTGCTGCAGTACTAGAGAGGGAGTTTGTGCTCGCACGCGAAACAGTGAGGTTCGAGTCCGGAGTGCCCTGCCAAGTGTCCTGCTGCCAGCCGCCTGTCGCCGCACTGTATACGGTAAGCACCCACCGCCAAAGTGATCGAGGGTAGGTCGTATTATTTTATTGTTATTAAGCGTTTACTCGACTACCTGGATGCGTTATAGGGATAAGGGAGTTAGTTGACGGGATTGTTAGGATATTAAAAGCGCGGGAGAAATACCGTTGCCGACCAGGCAAAGAGGGACTACGTTGTGCTACGGGCAGGTCGCCAGGAATGATGTCCTGAAAAGGTTGTCTGACATCTGCTTCGGTCTGACGTGTCCTTCGGTTGATGAGACGAGAGTTCGTAGTTTTCTTCTTTCATATTAAAGTTGCCAGGATTGCCGAGCAGGCAAAAAGGGACTACGCTGTGCTACTGGCAGGTCACCAGGAATGATGTCCTGAAAAGGTTGTCTGACATCTGCTCCGGCTCAGTGTACCTCTCGGGGAAAGCTAATTACGGGCTAATAAGTAATTCATCTTTTTAAGGCACAGTCCAGGATTGCCGAGCAGGCAAAAAGGGACTACGCTGTGTTACGGGCAGGTCGCCAGGAATGATGTGCTGAAAAGGTTGTCTGACATCTGCTCCGGCTCAGTGTACCTCTCGGGGAAAGCTAATTACGGGCTAATAATTAATTCATCTTTCTAAGGGACAGTCCGGGCAGTTCAGTAAACGCACGGGTCGCGAAGGTTCACGGAGCTGACACAGGACTTCGCCCTAATCCCGAGGCTGGTTTTGTAGCTCCCGTATTTTTCTAGGTGTGTCGTCCGGACGACACCCTGCATCAGTGACGCTGAACGAGATCTCGCCGAATCGATCCAGGGCTCGCGTGTGTGTATATCCCACAGGACGCTGTTAGCTTCGCGATCGATCCAGGGCTCGCGTTTGTATATCCCTCGGGACGCTGTTAAATTCGCGATCGATCCAGGACTCGCGTTGGCGTATCCCACAGGACGCTGTTAATTTCGCGATCTATTCAGGGCTCGCGTGTGTGTATATCCCACAGGACGCTGTTAATTTCGCGATAACGTCGACGCCGATCCGAGGTTCGTGTTACGTTGTCAAAACGGACGCCGTTCCAAGAAATGTTTAACTGCGACCATCGGGACGCCTGTAACGACGTCGCCGCCGTTTAGAGAGTCGCGTCATAGTAGAGTGTGTCACTCCGGTACTTACGTGTCTGTGTTCATTAGGACGCCACTAGATTCGACGTCGATTGGGAACTCGCGTCGTTTTATTTAATAGAACGTCATTGCGGGAGCGCGTTTTTAATTCACGGGATAGAGTCAGTCAGAGAGTTACATATCGGGAATAATCGATCAAAACTCTAGAGATACACGGTTGTTAGTGTAAATTTTGTTCTGCGAGGTACTAAATATTTACTTTATTTTTATTATTGTAAACTTTACTTTACGGGTCATTAGATATACATTTTATTTCACTGTTGTTACGATTCGAGGACGTGAACCTTCCTGGATTATTTTTGTACATAATTAATTAGTTAAATAAAAGCCTAGTGTTATGTTATAGTTAATTGTGTGTTTTATTTTCTTTTCATCTCATCACTCCCTGGTATCTCCACTGTATAAAAGCTACCCGTATTGGCACTAGTGTTCTCTCAAACACTTTAAACATTGGGATGGCGCCCGAGGAACCGAACCAAGGCAACTCTAAAACGGGGGAGCCTCACAAAAATGGCGCCCGAGCAGGGACTTGATTGTTTTGAAAATTAAACCGTCAAAAATACCAGGAAAACCGGGTAAAGCTAGTAAAAGCAAGAAAGCTATTGAAACAGTGTGAGAGGAGGTGAAAAGAAAGTAACAACCATCGAGCATAAGTACCTCTAGAGACAGTAAAGTCTCAGTACCTCTGAGTTAAAGACTAGGAAATCTAGAGCGATATGGAAACTGAGGAAGATATTTTGTCGATCGGTGCTTCCGTCGAAGGTAACGACGCCGTACCGTCGCTGTCACATACAGGTTTGAACCTGGCGCCGTCTGGCACGAGTGCTGAATCTGATTTCAGGACAGGGTGGATTTATTCCCTGAAGAAGTCTGAATTAGCCACACAACTGGTGCGTTTTGGATTGGATAATACCGGGACCGTTGAGGAAATGCGAAGAAGAATAGTGAGATTCATTAGAGAAGGACAGGCGAGTCCTCAACCTGTCACACAGCCTTTTGGATTTAGTGCTGTTGTACCGACAGTGAGCTCTACAGCCACCCTGACCACTACAACAGTGACAACTACAGTGACAGCAACCTCGAGTGGATACATTGCTGGACGTGTAGTGTCTTCTCCGGTGGTTTATACTTCTACTTCGCCGCCTGCCCCTCTGCCGATAAATCCAGGTATCTCAAATAGTTTTAACACTAGTCCAATACAAGTTTACAAATGGGGAGTGACATTTAATGGTCGCTCGGACCTTGTAACTTTCTTAGAAAGACTGGAAGAAATTTGTATTGCACAGAATATACATCCGGATCACTTATTACCACATTTGCCAGAAGTTTTGCAGGGAGAAGCTGCGCTCTGGTACCGCAATAACCGAGTAAATTACAGGACCTGGGAAGAATTTACTAAAGAATTTAAAATTTTTTATTATCCAGTGAATTATGAGGTGGACCTGGAGGCGAAGATAAGTCGCCGAGTGCAAAGACATAACGAGTCTATCACGGCGTACATCACTGAACTTCAAACGTTGATCCACAGACATGGCAGCATCTCTCCGAATCAAGAACTACAGTGGTTGTACAGAAATTTGCTACCTGAATTTCGTCAGTATGTCCGAAAAGGAGATTTTCACGATATTTCATCGTTCTCAAGAATAACCAAGGAATTTGAACTGCTTAATCAGGAACTTCGGCGATCGTCCCGTACTTTTACATCGTCCGATGTCGAAGCCCGACCGAATAATATGCCTCAGCGAGCCATGCTGGAAAATGAGTATGCTGGTGCCAGGAGCAACCTGACGGTTATCCAGAGCCAATCGCCGTCTCAGAGTAAACAGAGACATGTGTCTGTTACTCCCCGTGTTGTAAGATATCCGCATAGAGCGCCGAACTTTGCAAAACAGACTTCAGAAGCAATCTGTTGGAGATGTGGACAGACAGGACACTTCCGCAGACAGTGCACATCCGAGTCCAAAATCTTTTGTTCCCGATGCAAAAAGACAGGTGTTCGTTTGAGGAATTGTCCATGTGTGAGCCCAGGAAATCTGGAATCGAACCGCACAGAAATATTCCATGAACAACAATATTCACCAACCGAGATTGTTGAAGAACTACCACAAATCATACGTCAAGAAATTCGTCCTGTTGTGAAGATTCGCTACCGGAACACCGACTATTTGGCACTCCTGGATACTGGAGCTGCCCATTCCTATATTGGAAAGAAATTGACAGAACAGTGCCGAACCTCCAAGGCAATTCCTGTCAAACCCACGGTAAAAGGAGCGAGACTTGCTAATGGTGCCACAGAATCCATTAGCAGAGCATTTAGGATGAAAATCCAAGTAGGAGAGCAGTCTATGAATGAGGTTTTCCACAGTCTAAAAGACTTAGTATCGGATATGATTATTGGTATGGATATTCTGGGCAAGCATGATTTCCAGATTGATCTACGAACCCGACAGATCCGATTGAATGCTAAGTTAGTGAGTGCAGAATCGGTGGTTTCGTCCTGTAATGTCATGTCAAGCTTAAAGATCCGGAGCTCCGCCGAAAGTTTACAAGTAAACCCGAAGAAAAGTGTTGAACAAACAACCGAGAAGCTGAGGAAAGGTCAACGTCAAGCATCCGTTTCTAAGGGCAGTCGCCTTCCGATAAAAACGAGTCTACAAAGCCCTGTAGAAGAGTTCCGCAGACGTCAAACTAACAAGTTTTCTGACTCCAAAGATGTATTGCTTAAAAGCTCTGATCGAGTTCCGGTGGAGAAGAATGTTTGCTGGCGATATGGAATTCCCGGACACCTACGTGGTGTATGTCAGAGAAGATTTATTTTGTTCTGTTCCAGATGTGGAACACTCGGCGTGCGATCACAAGATTGCAAGTGTAGATGTATACCTTCCCGTTCAAATCACACCGAATCCTGGGCTGATGGATGTTGGTCAAGAGGAAGATCAACAGGCATCTAAACAGTATCTAAAAAAAAACCCGTCCCGACTGATGAAGTTGTGGAACTCATTTTATTTTGAATTTTTCAGACTATAACGACTCATGACTCATGAGTCACTGCCAGAACTATCTGCAGGCCACACTGGCGCTAACCAACTCCCCACATTCCCATGTATCTGGAAGCCAGTCTAGGCGGAGACAGCAACAATTTGCCAGGGAAGAAGTGGAGAGGTGACATGCAGAAAAAGCCCGATGTCCTGGCCCGTCTGAAAATGCCGGACGTCCAGCAACAGGAGTCTGTCGCCACAATGTCATCAGTCCACAAGTCATCAGATTCTGAGTTTTCATTTCTTGTTCACTTTCTTTAAGGGGTTTTACTTTTCTTTAAAAAAAAAAAAAAGGTGTCAAGTTATATCTTCTGATAGTTAAAGTAAACAAAAAGGGAAATATAATTTTTTTTGTTTTGTATTATTAAGGGAAGAAAAAAGAAAAGAAACGAGTATTGCGCGATTTTAAATCTCTATATTATGTCTACGGGGTTTGGTCCTGGTTAGTTTTTTTTAAGAAAAATTTTAAGAGGGAAACAGAAAGAGGGTAGAGAAGTTTTTTTGTTTAAGGGAATTTACTAGTATCTCTCAGCTAGTCGTGTTTTTTTTTTAAATATGAAAATATTTTGCGACCAATCGTCCTGCGTGCCTGAAGAGTGGCACTAATTCATTGGTGTTATAGGTGTACGGGTCTCCATGACTGACCCATTTGCAGGACTGTTCAACGCCGTTGGACCAAGAGGGACTCCCTAAAAGCTACCCGTATTGGCACTAGTGTTCTCTCAAACACTTTAAACATTGGGATGGCGCCCGAGGAACCGAACCAAGGCAACTCGACGTCAGTGACCTTTCTCTAAAACGGGGGAGCCTCACACTGTTATACTGAGGTATTGTGTTTAGTGCTTCTATATTGGGGTTGTTTTCTTGATTAAGGATATGGCTGTAATGCTCTTTCCAGCGGTTTCTAATTTGCTCTTCCTCTTTTAGAAGTTCGCCATTTTGTGCCATGATTGGGCAGCTTGCCTTCTTGGTTGGGCCGTATACTTCTTTTACAGCCTCGGACAGACCTCTTTACAGAATTTACAATAATCGTGATGCGTGGCGTACTCTTGAATCTGATTAGCCTTTTGTGACCACCAATCATCCTTTAATTGGCGCAGATTTTTTCGAAGCGTGTTTTTGGCTGCTTTAAAGTTGTCTACCAGCCATTGTGTGGATTTGCAGTGACTGCTTGATGTGCTCTATGCTTTTGTTCCAACAAGGTCTGTATATGAGGTTGATTTTCGTTAAACCAGTCTGGTTGTTTCTTTTTGGTGGACTTTCCCAGTACGGCTTTGCTAGTTTTATGAATCGCATCCCTTAATTGTGTCCAGCCTTGTTCAGCTTCCAAGATTGAGACTGAAATTAGCGGTGGAAGTAATTCTTTGGTGGCTTCCCGGAGGGCGTCGGCAGTATTTTTGGTCTCTGGACCCCGTACGTTCAATCTGGTTATGTTGTTTTGCTTTTTACAGTGTGGATGTGTGGGTTTTAACTAGATTTTCATTTTTGAAATTAAAAGTCGGTGGTCAGTGCCGCATTCGACATCTATTCTGGCTTTTGTGAGTCTGACATCTTTTAGATGCGTCCTTCGAACGATTACGTGGTCCAATTGATGCCAGTGACCTGATCTGGGTACTTTCAAACTTGTCCTTCAACATGAACCACGTATTGGTGATGCATAGATTATACTCTATGCATGTTGTTAATAAACGTTCACCATTGCTATTTACGTTTCCTATTCCATGTTTTCCCAATACGTCAGGCCATATTTCCTGTTGTCTACCGACACGAGCATTAAAGTCACCTAGCAAAATGATTCGTTCGTGCTTTGGAATTCGTTGGAGAGCATTTTGTAGAGCTTGGTAAAATTTATCCTTATCCTCAATTTTAGCATCTAGGGTGGGAGCGTAGGCACTAATGATGTTGCCGTAAGATTTGTCTGATATGTGGTACCTTAGGGTCATAAGACGTTCGGAGACACCAATAGGCACTTCTGTTAATTTGGTGGCGATTTCGTTTTTGATTGCAATGCCTACACCATGAATTCTCCTGTGTGTTGCAGGGTGACCTTTCCAAAAGAAGGTGTAATGCTCTTCAGTGAGAATCTCCCCTCATCCGCGAAGCGGGTTTTGCTAAGAGCGGCAACATCTATATTTAGTCGGTGTTCCTGTGAGTTCCTGTGAGATCAATGCTGTTCTTCTCTCTGGTAGATTTGAATTTATCTTGTCCAGTAGATTACGGACGTACCACGCCGCGAACGTGAAACATTGATGTTTTTTGTTTCTCCGATGATTCGCTCGAGTAGGCACCCCTCCCGGAGATCCGATTGAGGGGGTATTTTATCTCCGGATGATGATTTTGTTCCACTCGAATGTTCCATCATTGATGTGTGTTAGCTGCGTGAAAAGGTTTAACTGTAACGGTTACACTGCCGCACAGTTTTGGCTGCAACTGTACCACGGGATGACTATGGCACAGTGAGGACCGCGACGATAGTTCCCTTGTGCTACGTTCTCGGCCGGCTAGAAGTAAGTTTACTACTCCTCTTCCCCAGAAAGATGGTAGGTCTGAGGGGTTGTGTAAGGTTATACCGCCTATACTCGGACGTCAGAGCCTCGTTTGTGTAAACAGGGTGCACCGCGTAAAGGTGAGGTTGACTTTTGGGTAAGCTAGGCTATATGTGTCGCTTCACTACCCCTTGCACCCCCATATTTATGACACATTTATGTGTCATCAGTTTGACGATTTCAAATTGGCCCATGGAGTGTGCCGATCATGCCTTATTTTCTTTATTATATGTATGCGTATGACAGTTTAAATGATAAACGCAGCAAAGTCAGATCATGTCTTATATTTTCAAAAAACACCATTTTCTAATGAAATATCGATTTTAGGTATATGAGAAGCATAATAAAACAAAAAGATTAATCAAAACCTTGTTCGATTATGATACAAAATACAAGGTGTTCCATTTAATATATTAGAGAAGAATATAACATTTAGTTTTGACTCGTCCTGTATATATCAAACAAGATTGCACATTTTCGTAGACCAAATTTTGAAGAAGACACTATTATACAGTACTTCCTGTTAAACTTTTTTAAAATTCTTCGAATTTATAATTTTAAGGGGGCTTTATGTAAGCAGTAAATTTAGTTTAAAAACGGTTATAATTCAAAAACCATGTATAGTATATGTGACATGGTATTTTTGGAACAGAAATTTAGTGGCCACACAAAATCCACTGAGTTAAAAAAAAATATATAATATTTCATTTAAGAATATACAACTTTGGTTTGAAAATATCTTTGAATCACCGTGTATACTGACAAAAATATTTTCAAAATGTGCTGTAGCATTACCACCATAGTAAAAAAATTGAAATAAAATTCACAACTAATATATAGCTTTTTGGAAGCCTGAACCACCCTGTGGATTTTTTAAACAAATAAAAGAGCGGCAAATTTTTCGATTTCACGCCTTGTTTATAGCATATTCCTATTATCTTAAAAGTCCTATAGATCTAATTTAGTAATTATTAAGAAACATCGTACTAATATAACGTTATCGTTTAGGTTAATTTAAAAAATTATCGATTTTATAGACAATAATAGAGTGGCAAATTTTTCCTTTACATGGTGTATTTACGACTAATTTACGGCAATAATTCCACCTAATTTCAGACAATTTGCTTAACGTTTACTGGAATGTTTATTCTAACTTAATATATGACCTTGACTCTAATACATTTTTTGTTGCAGGCGGATAGAGAATGATCGCAGGATATTTTTTTAATTATATCTAAGAACGGCAAATTCCTGCTATACTGTAAAATTGCAAATTATATTCTTTCACCTAAGTGGTGGTTGTGCTAACTTAATATTTCTCCAAAAAATCCTATATGGGTATTTCGCCACTGCAAGAAAAAACAAAAAAAAAATAACTATTTTTGGAGAAATATTAAGTTAGCACAAGCACCATTAAATAAAAAAAAATAGGTGCGAGAACAAATATAGTTTGCAATTTTACAGTATACCAGGAATTTGCCTTTCTTAAGTAAGTAATATAGTATACCAGTAAGGGGGGTAAACTTTAATATCGAGTATGAATAGTTTTGTCGCTAGTTACTACTATTTTCTTTTTCCTACCTTTCAGGTTTAGTGGGTTTAATTTTGGAACGTGCCATTTAGACCTTGTTTTCTGAACGTTCCCTTAAAAAGTTTATAAATAAAGCATCGTCGAACAATATGATTATCAACTCCTGAAGGCGTGTATAAACAATCTTCTCTCTCTTTAGTGCAATGTCTTTTATCGATAACGTTATCAAGCCTATTGCTGCCTTACTTGGACTAGTTCAAACAAAAGGCAGCAATAAGGTGTTTAAACTAGGGTAAAACAACAAAACTACTAGACGTTTAAATTATGCATTAAAAAAGCTTTGATGGTTGGCGAAAAACAAAAATTACAGGCTGCTCTTGTTAGTGTTAAAACTTTAAACAACAATTTAAATTACAACAAAAGAAAGGAGCGGGGTTCAACAAAAAAAAAAGATACTTGTTCTCGTGTTAAATGGGAAGATCTACATTCCGCTTTTGAATCTCGTGTTAGAATAGGCGTCATTATTAACCTACATCATAAAGTTTCTCAACTGTTTTTAAATGATTGTAAGTCAGTCCTTTATCTAAGACGAATTCTGAATATGCTAAAAAGCGTTAATGCTTTAAAAGTGAATGCTGTGTTTTCTGGAGAGTTTACTATCAATAAACCAGATCAGGTAAAGACCGAATTAAAACATTTAAATACGAATAACAAAGTATTTTCTAAGGATACTAATTCGAATCAAATGTCAAAAGTTGACATATGTCATTGTTGGATTCTATCCCTTCCTCCCATCCTTTACCCGAAAAACCTTAGTGGGTACGTAGCCGTAGTCGAACAGGCAGCGTGACAAGATCGGCCGAGTACACAGTGTACACCTCCAAGCGCGCGCTATCCTCAAGTGTTTTATAAGCAAAACAAGTACGAGTCCAGAACGGGAATAAAGGTGAGTGCCCACAGTCCTGATACATTAACTCACCCTAATGAACTGAGCCCCTTAATTCTCGCCCGTAACATTGGTCCTTCCGCCGCAGATCCCTTTCTGAACTACATACATATTTTACTTATACTCAATTAAATTGATTATCATAATTAATTTCTCAAAATTATCTAAATATCATTAATATTTTTGTAATATGTTACTTTAAATATATTCAATAAAATAAATTCTCGAACAAAATCTATATTTATCTTCTCTTTAACGCAGTAAAAAAAGGTAGTACATTTTTTGTCACTGGTTCCACTGGCCAGGAATTAGATCGATCGATTTTTAAATTGCCGTACCGGTGTTAAAAGCGATATCTAGCGCTGTTTCGCGATACTGGTCCGGATATTTCCTTTTTATGCTCAAATTTATCGATACGCATTTAGTCTCAACTCTAGTCTGTTCTCTCTCTTAATAATTTAATTTTTAATTAATAAATACCCTCAATTAATACGAATACCTTAGTAAAAATAATAATTATTTTCTCATATCATATTTTATTGTAGAATATATCATTCTTACTCTCTCTCTCTCTCTCTCTCACACACACACGCACATACACTCTCTCAGTTAATTATTCTATTTCTCTCTTATTCTCTTAATTAATTACTCTCTCTCTCTCTCTCTCTCTCTCTCTCTCAGTTAATTATTATATTCTATAATATTTTATTTTCTCACCTTATAAAGTAAAAATATAATAATTATTTTCTCATATAATATTTTATTGTAGAATATATCATTCTCTCTCTCTCTCGCTCAGTTAATTATTATATTCTATAATATTTTATTTTCTCTCACATTATAGCATTCCATTTCTCTCTTACGCTCTAATTAATTATTATACTCATTTTCGCTATATCTGCAGACGCTCGCAAATTAAAAACTCTTATAGCTCAACGCTCTGTAGAACTTACTAAAATTAAAGAACTTAAAAAATTCGCTGATCAAGCTCTTGAAGATCCAAATTTTCACCCTAACTTTAGATGTAGAGCAAAACACTTAGAAGATATTTATAAAACTTTTGATAAGATTCATAATAATATAATTTTATTAGTTTCCGCACAGGATAATGGCGATATTGATCCTCATGTCAAAATTGAAACTGAATTTAATGATTATTATTTTCACATTGAAGCATTATTCACAAATTTATTTCCGCAAACGAAATCGGAGCTGGATACTAAACAATTACAAAACACTACTGCTCAATGTTCGGTAAAACTTCCTAAAATTGAGGTACCCCATTTTGATGGTGAATTTAAACATTGGCAAACATTTATCGATATGTTTGATTCTCTTATACACTGTAACTCATCTCTTAGTGATATATCGAAATACAACTATCTAGTGAGTTTCTTACGAGGTCCTCCTTTAGCTTTGGTATCTAGTACTCCACTTGCCAATCAAAATTATAATATAGCATATCAAGCCTTAAAATAAGTACGATAAGAAACGTTTGATTGCAAAAGCTCACTGGCAGGCTCTAGAAAATATTAAGCCCATCTCTAACGAAAATAATCATGAAGCTCTAAGAAATATGATTGATATTTATACTCGTAATATTACAATTTTAAATAACTTGGGTTTTCCCACAGAGAGCTGGAGTTTTGTGCTATTTAATATGATTTATGATAGACTTCCAGAAATTTTGCAAACTAATTTTGAACTGGAATGTGGCTCTGTTTTATCACAAGATATGCTATACCTCAAATCATACGATACACTCATTGAATTTTTAGAAAAACAATGTTCAGCTAAAGATACAATCTCTCTAACTAAATCGTTTTCTCATTTTAATAAAAATAGTAATTATGACAAAACCAAAACTAAGTATTCTCAAAAAAGTTATAAAAATAAACCTACCTCTTCCTTTGTTGTCAACACTCAGTTGAAACAAAATTTAACTTGTCAAGTTTGTAACAAGGATCATTTTATTTATAACTGCCCAAAATTTAGTGCTTTTACTCCAAAACAGAGATATGATTTAATTAAATCCCGAAGTTGGTGCTCAATCTGTCTCGGCACTAGACATTCTTCTAAGAGTTGTAATTCTCGTTCCTCATGCCGAACTTGTGGCAAAAAACATCATTCGCTTTTACATTTCGAAGGTCAAATAACAGCTCCTGTAAACATTCCTCCATCCACTTCATCGCAAGCTCTTCCAGTTCTGCAAGCAAGCAGCTCTATCTCAGAAGTTGTATCTACAAATTTATTTGCCAAACATAAGAATTAAGCTCTTCTTTCTACAGCATTAATAAATGTTCAAGATGCGTGGGGTAATTTTCATGTAATACGCGCTGTAATTGACAGTGGAAGTGAAAGTCACTTTATTTCAAAATCTTGTTTTAATAAATTAGGTTTATCTAAATTTTTCCTCCCCATCCAGTTGTGTGGCATCGGGAAAAATATTTCCAAAGGTTCTCACGGTGTTAGATGCAACATTAAACCTATTGGAAAGTCTGATCCGATCTACTCCTTGGAGTTTATCATATTAAATGAAATTAGTGATAATTTACCGATTAATTCTCTTCCCGTTGAACAGTTCTCAAAGTTTTCTCAATTGCCCTTAGCGGATCCCAACTTTCACCTCTCTAAACCCGTAGATATACTTTTGGGTGCAGATATTTATGGTTTCTTGATAACAGGAAACAAACTCCTCTCAGATCCAGATTAACCCGTCGCTTTAGAAACTATATTTGGATGGATAATTACAGGAAGAGTTAAAACATCTAGTGTTTCGCTCTCTGTAAACTCATACTTTCTTACCTCTTATGCTTCCTTGGATCAATCACTTCAAAGATTCTGGGAGTTAGAGGACGTTCCACAATCCTCCACGCTTTCTTCAGGTGAAAAGCTTGCCGAAGAACACTTTTGTAAAACATTTTCACGCACTCTTTATGGACGTTATAAAGTATCTTTACCATTTAAAACTTTGGAACCGATCTTTGAAGGTTCTAGAGATGTCGCCCTTCGTAGATTTTTCTCGCTCGAAAAACGATTGCTTCGAAACCCCCAACTTTATTCTCAATATTCTAATTACATGTGTGAATATTTAGATTCTCAATATATGATTGCCGTGCAAAATTCTTCTCCCAACGCTTATTCTTATTATCTGCCTCATCATTGCGTAATCCGACCAGATAGTCTCACGACCAAACTTAGAGTTGTCTTTGATGCTTCCGCTCGAGATTACACAAATAAATCTTTGAATGACACTCTCTTTACTGGGCCAAAATTACAGTCAGATATTTTATCTATTTTACTTCGATTTAGATCGCATTTGATTGTATTTGCTAGCGATATTAAACAAATGTTTTGTCAAATTCTTGTTAATGAAAATCATACTGAATACCTCAAAATTTTATGGCGATTTAACGCTAATGAGCCCATTCAAGAATACAAACTTACTCGCGTTACTTTTGGTTTAAGCTGTAGCCCATTTTTAGCCATTCGAGTTATAAAACAAATTGCTTTAGAAAATTTAGTAAAATATCCCGAAGCATCAAAGATTTTAGATATGGATACGTATGTCGATGATATTATATCTGGTTGCGATTCTCTTTCTCTTGCTATAAAAATTCAACGCGATCTCATTTCTATACTCAAACACAGCGGTTTTGAACTTAGAAAATGGACTTCGAATAGCTCAGATTTTCTTTCTCAGTTATCTCCAAATGAATGCAAAATGGATTCTTCTCTCTCTTTAAATATACATTCTCTTTCTTTCTCTAAAGTTCTAGGACTAAACTGGAATCCCTCTACAGATGAATTTTTCTTTGATTCACCAGCGGTATCCTTGACAAACAAAATCTGTAACAAACGCAATATTCTTTCACAACTCGCAAGCATATTCGATCCCTGTGGCATGTTAGTTCCTCTCACTCTTCACCTAAAACTGATTATACAAGATTTGTGGAAGTTAGGTATAAATTGGGATGATCCTGCTCCCAATAACATTGCTACATCTTGGCATCAACTCGTTCAAGAATTACCTTGTATTTTCTCTCTCAAAGTTCCTCGATATTTTCTCACTCTCAAATATTTATCCCTGGAAGTACATGGTTTTTGTGATGCTAGTGAAGAAGGCTATTGTGCAGTAATTTATTTCAGGATAATTCTTCCAGATAACTCTGTAAAAACAAATTTTGTCTGCGCTAAAGGCAAAGTAGCTCCACTCAAAAAAATCTCAATTCCAAGACTGGAACTCTGTGCAGCCTTACTTCTGACCAGGTTAATTGATTTCGTTAGAACTTCACTTTCTAATAAACTTATTAATGTTGGTTCGATTGCATGGTCCGACTCGATGGTTGTTTTGCATTGGCTTAAAAGTGAACCATATAAGTGGAACACCTTTGTAAGCAATCGAGTTTCCCAAATTCAAGAGAAATTACCTCCTTCTTGTTGGCGTCATGTAGTCTCCAAAGACAACCCCGCTGATCCAGGTTCTCGTGGTCTTCAACCTAGCGAGTTACTCGACAATGCCTTATGGTGGGCGGGACCTCCATGGCTAAGCCAACCGGAATCTTATTGGCCGCAATCCATTTTTACTTTCCCTGAAACTGAAGAAGAACAACGAAAAGTTATATTGACATGTACTTCACAGCCCTCATTGGTTGATACTCTCTTTGAAAAGTTCTATTCTTTCTCTAAAATTATAAATATTGTCACGTTTTGCAGACGCTTTCTCTATAATACTCGACATTCTAAATCTCATAAAACCTCTCCTCTCTCGAAATTTGAAATAAATGAAACTCTAGAATGTATTATTAAATGTGTTCAATCACAATATTATGCTAGGGAAATTCTCTTAATAAATAATCGCAAATCTCTACCTAAATACTTACGAAAATTGACCCCCTTTCTCGACACCAATGGAATTCTTAGAGTTGGTGGTCGCTTGCGCAATGCTTCTCTAAATTTCTCTCAAAAACATCCCGCACTCTTACCCAATAATCATAAATTTACTACTCTACTCATAGAATATACTCATAAACTCTATTTGCATCCCGGTCCACAAACTCTTCACTATATTCTCGCTCAACAATATTGGATTGTTTCTGCTAGAAAAACAATTCGTAGTGTTCTCTTTAAATGTCCTCAATGTTTTCGCGCTAATCCAGTAATGCCTCAGCCTCCTATTATGGGAGATATTCCTGCTATAAGACTTTCTCAAGTAAAACCTTTCTCTGAAGTTGGATGCGACTATGGCGGTACATTCTCTTTATTAAGATATCGTGCACGAGGTGCTAAGTCCTGTAAAGCCTATATTTGCTTATTTGTGTGCATGGCCACGAAAGCTTTGCACTTAGAACTGGTTTCCGAACTTTCCTCCGAGACTTTTCTGGGTGCACTGCGTCGATTCATTTCTCGTAGAGGTCGCTGCAATCATATTTATTCCGATTGTGGAACGAACTTTGTCGGAGCTTCTAGAGAACTGATTAATATGCTAAAATCCGCCGCTGAGCAAGAACAAATTTCCTGGCACTTCAATCCTCCAAGCGCGCCTCATTTTGGTGGCCTGTGGGAAGCAGGAATAAAGTCTGTAAAAACTCACATTAAAAGGGTTATTGGTGATCAATTGCTCACGTATGAGGAATTTTATACGCTACTGGTTCAAATAGAAGCAGTGCTTAATTCTCGTCCATTGTGTCCACAAAGCTCTGGTCCTAATGATTTGTCAGTTCTTACTCCAGGACATTTTTTGTCCCAAGAGCCGTTAAAGGCCCCTCCGGAAGATGATCTTTCCGGGATAAAATTAAATCATCTCTCTCGCTGGCAGTTGATATCACGCTTGCACCAAAGCTTTTGGAGCCGATGGTCTAAAGAATACCTTCAAACACTTTTACAAAGAGCTAAATGGAATGACTCTACTATTCCAATAGAAATAAACTCGGTTGTTTTAATAAAGGATGATAATCTAATTCCGCTCAAATGGAGCATTGGAAGAGTCTTAGAGATTCACCCGGGCCATGATCGTGTTACACGCGTGGTTACTTTAAAAACAGCAAAAGGCATTCTTAAAAGACAAAGATATGCCCACTGCCTTACTGCAAATCTCAAAATTAAAATTTACTCTCTAAAAAAAACATAATCGCAAAAAAAAAAACATAATCTCAAAATAAACATAATTCGCATCTCTTATTTAATTACTTTTCTCTACTCTATAACAAATGTAAACTCTCTTAATATTTAATTAAATTACACTCATACATTAACCCTAATAATGCATTTTTATAAATTTCCTCTAAATTTAACTCCATAAATTTCACTCTTACTTTCTTTTAAACATAACGCATTTTTTCACTTTTTTTTTACTTTACTATTCTCAAACGAAAATGGAAAATATTTCATTTTGGTGGGCGGTATGTTGGATTCTATCCCTTCCTCCCATCCTTTACCCGAAAAACCTTAGTGGGTACGTAGCCGTAGTCGAATAGGAGCGTGACAAGATCGGCCGAGTACACAGTGTACACCTCCAAGCGCGCGCTATCCTCAAGTGTTTTATAAGCAAAACGACAAGTACGAGTCCAGAACGGGAATAAAGGTGAGTGCCCACAGTCCTGATACATTAACTCACCCTAATGAACTGAGCCCCTTAATTCTCGCCCGTAACAGTCATTCTATTCAGAGTGTCATTTTCTATCGAATAAAGTAAAAAAAATACCGAGGGTGTCATTTAAAAATTAACAGTTGTAGTCATTTCCGGTGAAACAGGAAGTGACCAAAAACAATTGAATACGTCAATCAATCCTAATTTATGTCATATACTAACATACCAAATTTCGTTTTATTATCTGAAAAAAATAAAGAAAATAGTTAAGAGTGAACCACTTTTGAGACGCACTCGGTATGTTTAACGTCAATATACAAGTAATAGAGAGATATCGGTAAACCGAATAGGTGTTATTTCCTTTACGTGAGGTGGTATTAACTCTCTTCATTTATAGTTATCGGATCGGAAAGAATTCTGTTCACATCGCGTCGCGTCCGCCATGCGTCCGCTATTTAAACTTAACCTAACTTTGAATTTAAAACTTTGAAATTGTTTTGTTTACTAGTTATTTTATAACTAAAGGATTAAAGTGCTTATTTCCAGTGCTTTATTGTTCAACGTCTGCCAGTGGGTTTAGGGCAACAAATTTTCTTAGAAGGGCTAAGTCGTCATCTGCTGTAAACCTAAGCCTCTTTATAGGTTCTTTAATATTGGAAGAGGTGGAATCCATATTTTGGGATTTATTTAATTAAAACTAATCCCAGCTACTTAAATATTAAATTACCTAATAAAACTAAAGTAATAATTCAAAACAATTCAAACATAACCTAAAATAAAAGATCTCGTCGGCCGGCCCCGGTTGTCAAATACCTGCAGATGCCCATTTAAGCAATTTTTAAACGTTATTTAGAAATAGAGCTTAGTGTAATTGATCCGCAAATTACGTCAGGCGGTAACGTTATTAGCGGGCGTTGCGTTAAAAAGTGACTCGTGCATATCGTAACTGTCAAAATAAGGTACGAGTAAAATAAAATACTGCATGACGCTATTCGGTTTACCGCTATCTCTCTAATATCTTGGAAACTGTGCATTTTCGAAACACAGTTTAAATGGCGCGCATATAGAACTCCACTAGCACTATTTGTAGAGGCCTCACCATAGACTTAAAATATAACATAGACTACACTATTTACATCTAAACGCGGTCAAACAATCTTTTTTGTACACATGTATACACATCGACCGAACCTTCCTCATCCAGCCTATGTTGTCACGTCTTTAATATTATCAATATTTTTTTTTCTTGTTATACACATATATTGAGATATTAATCTACATTTTAATAAAGTAGGTTTTAATATTCCATATATGTATTAAATAGTCCTTATACTACTAAATTATAAGTCGGATACTATTTAAAAAGGATAAGTTCTTTACAATATGGCACCGATTAGAGGCAAGGTCGCCTATTCATTCATTTATTTACCTTGTAGTACGCGTCGCACGTGTGCGTATAGCTTTGTTGCCGCTATGTCTCCGGCTGTATTAACGCATTTTCTTAGCTTGTAGCAAAGATAATTCTTGTTAACTATAATATTCTTTGCTTGTAGTCCTTAAGTGTTTATTTTATTTACATTTTCTGTTCAAGAACTATAAAATATGGTTCGCCAGAGCCAAATTTGCAAAAAATTTGACTTAAATAATCCATTTAAGTCTTGAAACGACTTTCGACTGGTAGGCAACTCTAAATTTACCCATTGGGAGTCAGTGGCGTTGTTGTAGAAAGGCGCTTATTTAGATAATATTTTAGTAAAATGTAAAATTTGAAGTTTTTCTCTTACATAATCATTTATATAAAGGTTTTTGTAACAAAATCATAATTATTATAACCCTGTTAATAATTAATAATGTTTTTATTAAAAATATATTCCGGTTTATTCTAAAATTATCTTCAGAATCTAAAATAACATACAAGAATTTTAAAATGATATTACATTATGAAACAATATTTTTTAATATACCGGGTTCGTCTCAAAAGTGGCTCACCCCTATAACTTTTTTATTTTTTCAGATAAAAAAAAACAGATTTGTATGTTAGTAGGTATATGACATAAATTAGGATTAATTGGACGTATTCAATTGTTTTTCGCCTCTTCCTGTTTCACCAGAAATGATTACATCTTTTGATTTTTAAAGGCACCCTCGGTATATTGCTACTTCATTCGATAAAAAATGACACTCTAAATAGAATGACATATCATATGTCAACTTTTGACATTGTCGCTTAAAAACAAATCGTATTTTAAATTTCAATCCAGGGTGCCATGGTGTTGTTAAAAACACTTTTTTAACACAAGTTTTAATCAAGGAGCCTTGAAAAATAGTTTTGATCGTCTAATGGGTTTCGTGTCTTGTCTAGGCCGGTTAAAATATGTACAAATCGTATTTTTAATCATATGTCAATTTTTTCAAATGGAACAAGGGTGACTCATTAGCATATTTGGAAAAAGCATTTTTTTATGAATATATTGATACCACACACTTGGTATTTCGAGTCAAATTGTCGTTATAAATCGCGTGTTACAATTACAATTAAAACATATGCGAAAATATCAAAAGTTGACACATGATATGTCATTCTATTCAGAGTGCCATTTTCTATTGAATAAAGTAGAAATATACCGAGGGTGCCATTTAAAAATTAAAAGTTATTGCCATTTCCGGTGAAACAGGAAGTAGCCAAAAACAATTGAATGCGTCAATCAATCCTAATTTATGTCATATACTAACATACTAAATCTTGTTTTTTTATTTGAAAAAATAAAAAAAATATGGGGATGAGCCACTTTTGGGACGCACCCGGTATAATAAAGACAGTACCGAGTTAAATAAATGTAGTTTTCATTTTATCCACTTCCTATCACCTTCCTTGCTTTAATGGAACAGATTTCTGTTTTCTCTAATTTACATAAATAAGACATCACTTAACCAGAAAAAAAAATTACAACAATCCTAATTTTTTTTTCTCTCTCCCTGTCGCCGATTCTATTATATTATCTGTAGAATAGATCTTGTTTTGATTAATATTAGGGGTTGTAAATGTTTGACTAAAATTAATATTTTTTTTTAATAATTTCAAAAATTACGTAATTTCGATTATAAAATTATTTCTTCTATAACATGTATTTTATTATTTTTATCCTTTTTGGATTCTAAGACGTTTTTTCTAAACTTTTATTCAAAACAACCTCTCCTAAATCTTAATAAAATATAAAAAAGTTTAAATACGATATATTTTTAATTTAATTATAGCTTCATTAAAATAAAAAAATTACCCGGCTATGATACAGAGAGTTCAGGTGTACTTGAGAAACGAAAGACAGTGTTGCGTTTCTCGTCAGAGTTGTCAGGGAACGACCGTTACGACAAAGACAACCTATCTATCGCTCGTGTCGCACTATTATATATATATTTAGGTTATAACCTAAAACAATAACAAGACATTGTCTGACCGCATGTTCCAGCTATTTATGAATGAGATGCTCGGTCTATATTTTATTTTAAGTCTATGGGCTTAAAATAAGTCTCACTGGTTGTTTAGCTACTTATGGTATGGTTTCGCTTGTGCGTCTGGTGGCTGCGTTCAGGCGCAACTGCCGGCTGCAGCACTAACGGCGCGGTTGGTATGGTTCCGCTTGTGCGTCTGGCAGCTGAGTCCGGACGCAACCGCCGCGTTCTTAACCCTCCGTCTTAGCAGTACCTAATTATTGAAAATAAGTTACAATTAAAAATATTTTAGATACATGCTTACCGTTTTTTTCTATCAATACACATATTTTCTCCCATACTGCGTCTTTGATAGACACATTTTTATAGTCCCGTTGCTCGGGATTATAAATATCACTATACTTCCTCACTTAGTCAATTAATTTCATCCCTATAGCAGAGGAGTTTGGTGCCATAATTATAAAGACATGCCACATCAACGTGGCGAGTTCAACATCTGTGCGGCTAGACTGAGACACGTCCCAGTAGATCGGCAGACGCATCTCAGACGTCGGGCAGTACGGCTGACAGCACTTTCAGATGGAGTGGACCGTCTGCGACGGAGCGTCCGCGACTTCAAGCGAGTACCATGAGTTTATATGAACAATATCACATGGGCGCATATCATAGTAGAAGGAAAAGAGTAGTTGCACTCTCCCAAATATTTTCTGCCAGTTTTTACAATCTGTCCAATATCGGCAGATTGCAGAGCGTCTCAGTTGAGTTCCGTCCGTCGACCTGCGAGGGTCGAGCGTTGCGTCCCAGTACAGAGACGGATTGACAAAAAATGAATGCCTTACTGTATTCTGCTATTGGTTGTAGTAATGGTTCAAAAAATTATGCTTTGAGTTTTTTTTTGAGAGTCATTTGTGATCATGTTTGTGTTCAGTTTAATTTTCTCATGACTGATTACTACTTAATAATTTGATATTATTTTCATTTAAACCTCATTTTTTTATTGATTTTACTTTTGACAGCCATCCCTACTTGCTGTTTAACCAACTGCACCATCATTGACAAAAATTTGCTAGTACCGAAAGTACCGAAAAAAACTGGAAATCCCGATCCCTTAGAGGCATAGTACCGAAATTACCGGTTCCGAAAAACAGCTCCGGTTTCGGAAACGCTACCATAACCGTATCATAACCGTGAATTTCCCCATACAGGGTGAGTCTTAAATAAGTGCAAATATTTTTAAGGGTAGTATATTTTGGCCCCAGAAATATGAGGATTTTTCTGCGCAATTTCTTTTTTGAAAAAAAAAATCTGGAGATTTTTTTAGTTTTTACATAATTTCTTGATACCGTGATACCTTCGGGACTCGATAACAATAACTAAAAAATTATTCTTTTATTACGTGAGAAAGTAGTGATGCTATTTCTCATTGTTCTTGCTTCTTTTCTCTTTTTAAATTTCTGCAATGTTTATTAGCAAATATTGAAGTTCAAATATGTTATTCTATTATTTCGTACAATGTGTTGTTCAATGTATAAGTTATCTAATGAAAATCACCTAACCAATATATTACTACAAAACAAACACATTAATGTAAAAATTTAACCTGTTTTAAATTAAATAAAAGCTGTAAAAAATCTTTGAAATAGATAATAATATAAAAATATGTCATTATATATTTTTCCGCATTTTTTCCCATCAGAAGATTTTCAGATACAGAAAAATTGTTACTTACACGAAATGTGAAAATATTCTATTTTCGAGCAAATTTTACTTGATGATTTTTTTTTATTTTAATTTATTGTGAACTCATATTAAGTACATCTCTGTGAAACTATGGGGAGTGCCACGACTATACTTTGACTAGTTATAGACCACGACTATATAGCTATGTCAGTGGTCACGGGATGCGAGAACAAGGGCATATAAAGTGGCAGAAAAAGAACAAAGGATTTGACAAGGAGTAAACCTATACTAGTTTCCTTACAGCGCTCTCAGATGGAGCGGACCGTCCGCGACGGACCGTCCGTCGTGTTTTTCAAGATAGCCGTCGGACGGAGCATACACGCCCATGGCAAATTGTTCATATAAATTCATGGTACTTGCTCGAAGTCGCGGACGCTCCGTCGCGGACGGTCCGCTCCATCTGAAAGCGCTGTTATACTACGTGCGTATGCTCCGTCCGACGCCTGTCTTTAAAAAATACGACGGACGGTCCGCTCCATCTGAAAGAGCTGTGAGACGCACAAGCGGAACCGGTTATAGAGCAAATCCAATTAGTCAGAGAGTTGCGGTCGGCGGTTGCGTCCGGGCGCAGCCGCCAGACGCACTAGCGTAACCATACCGTTACCCGTTTCCGAGAGGAAACATCTTATTTTTATTTACACCTTTATTTTTATTTTTTTTGGTTGGCATAATTTAATATGGCGACCAAACGCCAAAATTTTCGAAATGACTTCAGGTTTAATTTCAACATTAACACTTTAAAAAATATTTAGAATCATAAAAAATGCCTCCTAAAAAACTTACGGGATTTAATATCTCGACCGGACTATTAGTGAAAATTATACTATGCCCGAAGGCCGAGTTTAAAAGTCAATAAAATGAATTAGTGCATGTTTTTTAAGTTATTAGGATAATTAAAAAACGCGTTTTAATGTCTAAAAGCGACTAAAAATCCCTCCGTATTTCAAAAATAAAATAGAACTAAAAATATAATTCTATAGTTTGGAGTTTTCTTAAAGTAGACCACATACGTAGAGTTACCTAGTTAGTCTCTTCAAGTTTTGTCCCAAGCTTTTGAGATGATGCTAGGTGAAATGGTCAAACTAAGCTCATCAATACCATTCATAGCTCCAGAATCCTTCTGCGGCCCTGCAAAAGTATCCACAAGAATGGCCATAAAACAGTGGATTTCCAGCATATCTCTAGGTGGATCTACTAACAGGAAATTTTTTAGCCAGCTTAACGGACATCTAAGGCAAATGAAATTGACGGGCAAAGCCATGTACAGATTTTCTCAATCTGAACAAAAAACGACAGAACGTATTCTATGGCAGCAAAATCGAGTTTTCTAATGAAAATAATCATCAAATTTTATTAAGTAACCAGTCATGAGAAAATTAACATGAACAACAATTTGAAAAAAAACTTATAATTTTGAATTAAAAATGCAAATGCCTATAAAAACATATCATGAAATACCATACAATCGAAGTAAAAACGGCGTCAAAGACGGCTGGGGAATGACAATCGATGGTAATTTTGGAGAGGTCAAGCCCTAGACATCACTTACTTGGCTTCTACTATTCTTTATTTTTAATGGCGTTTACTGCTAGTTAAGAGGGTTAAAATGATTATATTAAATAAAAAATATTTTTTCTACAAACGTCAAAAAATGACAAGGTTCGCGATTGATAGTAATGTGCTAAGTGACACATTTTTTTTCATTTTCCTACGTTACCATGACACGGTGCGCGAAGTAATGCGCGAAATGCCTATTTCGCACACTGCATGTAAATTATATGGGATTTTGCAATTTTGATTTTTTATAAAATGAACAACTAAATCATAACTAATTATTTATTTCGAAATATTCAAGAATAAACAAATAACAAATATCAAACTTGACAATAATGCATATTCTAGTTATTATTTACAATATTAACATTAATAGCACAATTTAATCCCAAACTAGATAGTTCTGATTTTGTTTGAGATATGGGGGTTTTGGGACTTGAAACACTATCCAATTTTGATATAGAGGTACTTGTCCCGGTATTTGACACTCTAAAATTTTATTTGATATTTGAATTTTATTGTTGATAGATAATAATAATTTTTAGAAATATCCCGATTCTAATGTTTGTAGAAAAAATGTTGTTTGCAAATCGTGCGCGAACTACTTTGGTGATCTCGACTAATTTTTCAACTCGGCTACGCCTCGTTAAAAAATTCAAGTATCGATTACCAAAGTAGCACTTCGCGCACTAGATACAAAAATAACTGTCTACGGTCGTGCAAAAGTAGCTATTTTTTACACTATCTGCTGTATTAAGAGTCTATTACGCTGTATTACGCTGTACCTTTGGGTTGCTCTCAGGGGCCGGGTAAAGCGGCCTGTAAGTGTGGCCGAAGGAAATAGATATTATATTTCAGAAATCTGCCTAAGGCTTAGCCCGATCTTGTCGTGGTAAGCTACATCCAAAATTCCAAACACACGTGCTTTGATAAAGGCTTGATTAAGGTTAATATTAAGCTTAATAGCTAGTTTATTACAAAACCATATAAATTATATATCACTGTAATCACAAAACTTCAATCTATTTCCGTACTGTAACGGAATTTTAATTTATGTCTTTATTTTCAGGTAAATTTAGTCCAAACCAAAGATATTTAAACTCAAGAGATACAATTGTTTGCCTATTTCCTTCATCGGCCATTATTCTATCCTTATTTTCCCATCTCTCTTACACCGAAAACATTTGCCAGATTTACCTGGTATTGGTATTAGTATTCGATTAAATACCACAACCAATTGTTAAGTAATAAATAATTTTGTTTATATTTCTATAATATATCCAGAACATTAATTTGCTAACGTCAATTTTTTCATTTAAAGCTTAACTGCTTAACTATTTTAAATTTTATAATGGAATAAAAATATCATGGTCGTGTTTCTTTTAATAATAAAAAGCAGTTTGGCAATGTCAGTTTTAGAAATATGCCGGCGTAGTACCACAGTAGTAGCAGAGGCTTTAGAGCGTTTTATGAATGGGTCATTGTATCTCACAGTTTTAAATATCTTTGGTTCAAACATAAGGAATATTTTGTTAATGTTTGACTATCAAAATCTTAAAAATAAAGAAGTTGTCTAAAAATGTGCTACAATACGGATATATTATAATCCTTTATCTTTAATTTCCTTCTTCATTTGTGTAAAAATACCTAGCCAGTTTTACATAAAACGTTAAATGCTGAACGCTTATTTTTCTACTTTTTCGGCCTAGTGAAATGGACTCTTAATAGTCAATTTTTTACACTTTCCCACTTTCACACAAAAAACATCTTGGCATCATAATGACGATTTTAACTCAAGAGAAAAAAATTGTATTTTTTGTAAAATTTGATCAAATCCTGGAAGGAAACTATTCCGGAAAAGAGTTTTAATTGAAGAACAAGAACCCGAAACCCCCAGAAGCAGAAATGAGAATAAAATTCAAAAGATTGGAAATAAAGTTTGTCCATCAATTACCGAATTCAATTAGTGAATTGTTCAAACTGCGACATTAAAATTAAAATGAACTCAAAAAACAGTTATCAAAAAAAATTGTTTATTGTGTCATTGTTAATGGTAATATTATTCTGTAAATTACTCTAAAAACTTTTTTTCACAAATAAAAATAACCGACAACACTAAAATCACTGAAACGCGGCCGACAACGAAAACTGAAAAATATAACAGCACTTTTTGTGTGGAACCTGCATATCAAAATTATGCTGTACCATTATGTTTTTGTTTTTGAAATAATAGAAAATATAATAGAATTCTCTAATTACTAATTCTAACTTGTGAATTTTGATATTTTAACAATCTCTGACAATAACTAAACTTTCATATTAAACTTTTTGTTATCAAGATGACATTTTAGACGTCAACTGAAAAATATGTCATAATTTAATTTTAAATATGTATGTAATATAATTAAAATTAATAAAATGCAACTTTATACTAGAAAACATTTATACATTCACAAAATACAACAAAATCTAATAATACAGTGTTACGTTTTTCGTCGGTTCCGTGTGGATAGAAAGTCACAATTTATTTAAACACAATTTATTTACACTAAGTAACAAACAATATACAAAAATATATACAAACTATTAATAACTACTTATCTAGAAAGAATTTATTTTGAATTTAGCGCGACAACTGTACTCGTCTATTTATTTCTGTCCTCTTCAGGCCCCAGCCGCCGGCTTTTATACTCACAGCTAAAGATTTCTCGAATAATCCATAGATCATTAGGTGCATAGAGAAGGTTTCAAATGTTCTCGTATGTACTACTCCATTCCAGTGGAACTCGATTCTTCTCGAACGTTCGAATGAATCATTACGGTGTCTATTCTTTATTGCGATAATAAGGTCATATGGGGGCGGGACATTTTAGCTAGTTAAGTTATGCCGAGTCCACACGGGTCCGCAACAATAGTTTGAAAACAACGAAAATTAAATTAAAATAAAAAACAAGTTAAGCGCGACCCCTGTGTCAAAATTAGTTGATTAAATATTCCCAATTTTTACACCACATAATGACTGGTGGCGCCTCTAGTATTTGTTCGCACGGTTAGTCTTTTACACTCGTTTGTGACCATTAAAGAAAAAATTCTTATGGGGGATATTTTGTGATTTTTGATCTCGTCAAAATTTCACATCGATTGTCATTCTCCAGCCATTTTTGACGCCGCTTTTTTTCGATCATACGGTATAACTAATACGTTGAACAATACTATACTAAATTTAAAAAAAAAGATATTTAAGTTTCAATAATTGCTAATAAACAATTATGGCAACTTAAAAAAAAAGAGAAAAGAAGTAGGAACAATAAGAAATAGGATTACTACTTAATATTTCGAAGAGTTTGGTTTCGACCGCTAGAAAGTATCAAATGACTCGCACATAACTAAAAATGATTTTTTTAATTATTGTTCCGAAAGTACTTTCCGGTACGGTATCGGTTCTTTGATAGCCCAAAAGAACCGGATATCTCTAGTACTTTTGATAGCGGCATTTCGGTTATGAACCTTACTACAACAGCAATAATAGGGATATGTTAGATAAATCAAGATCGACAGAAAAACTAAAAGAGATTAAGCCGAACGCTACAAAAGATTTTATGTTCAAATACTTGCCATGGCTGCACAGTTTTGCCTTGTGGAAAAACTGCATGTGCGTGGCTACCTTTATATTGTTTTGTGCTGTAAAAACAGTATAGGATCTCTTGCCATTAATTACATGTAATTAATTAATTGCAATAATTATATTGTAAGTGATCAATGCTTCACAAGTGCATGGGACCTTCTGTTTATCGCCAAATTCAAGGGGCATTACCAGTGGCGGCTCGTCAGGGTGGGCAAGGTAGGTGGCCCTACCCTATAATTTTGTCAGAATTTAAGCGGTTTATTACATTATATTATTTACTATTAATGTTGCCAATACATAAAATAGTATATTATTCAACGAGCATATAATGGTGGCTGTTTTTCACGCGGATGAAGTTTATGACACAAGCCGCAGGCGAGTAGCATAAATCATCCAAGTGAATAACAACCATTATATGCGAGTAGAAACTAAAAGAAGATAACTTTATCCAGGACTATCAAAAAAATTTAGATAATATTAATATAAGTTTTTATTTTTAAAAAACAACTTTTGAGACCCCCCATAGATGAATGCAAAAAATAACATTGAAATTTTTAAATCGAATTTTAGAATGCAAAAAGTGACATTTAAAACTTCAAATTTTTAAATCGAATTTTAGAGTAGAAAATGAGGGAATGTTAACGTTGTTTCTTTGCAATGGTGTTTAATAATTTGTTTACATGTCGAGATATAACATGAGAGACTTATTAAAAAGAAAAACATATTATAAAAAATTTATGACAAGAAAAACAATTTTTGGTTTGGTTTGGTTTGGTAGATGAATGCAAAAAGTGACATTAAAAACTTCAAATTTTTAAATCGAATTTTAGAGTAGAAAATGAGGGAATTTTAACATTGTTTCTTCATAATGGTGATTAATAATTTGTTTGCATGGCGGGATATGTTATAAGAGAATGTTTAAGGAGCAAAATAGTTATTTACAGCACAAGCGTGTTTATGAACATTAGGGGTCGTCATTTTCTTGACAACTTCTTGATCTTGTCTTGATTTCAAGACAAGATCAAGACAAGAAATGATTTTTGGTTTTCAAGACAAGACAAGAAATTACTTCTCAAGATCAAGATTTCTTGACAAGAAATCAAGAAAATCTTGAAATTTCTTGAAAATATAAAATAAAAAAGAAATACTCAT